TTACCAATTCAACACTGTAATTAGATCTTTGAATATTGCGTTTATTGGTATAAATATTGATTTTTGTTATCAGTAAATTAAAATCATACTAATAGTTTTGTTATACACATATGCACTTTAACGGTACTAAAATCTGTCGATCGTTTGGCATTTTGGCATTGCACAAGGTCATGTTTTTCTCTGACTATTAATGACGTCTTTACACTAAATCCATTGGATGTTGGATGTGTACTGATTGATATTCTAGTCTTAGATACATGATTTAATTTTATTAGTTGTTATTGGCTTTGAATTAGCTGTCAGTAACTGCGAGTACTCTCAATTGAATTGTTTCATATTGTTCATGTCGGGGTCTTTTATAGCCGACTATACGGTATGGGTTTTTCCCATTGTCGAAAGCCGTACGGTTTCCTATAATTGCTTACATCCACTTTATTTGAACTTTGGTGGATAGTTGTCTCATTGGTTCATACCTCATTTCCTTATTTTTATATAATCTATACCAAGAGTTAATCTTTTAAAGGGGAAATGAATATATTTGCTTGTAGATGTGATGCATACCTGTGCAAATTTTACTTCAACGGTTAAGTTTAGTCCTCAGATGCTAGATGAGTAGCAACCATATAACCTGTTTTTAAGATAATGTAGGTCAGTATAAAAGCCTTGAACCAATATTAAGTAGACCTGATGTATCTGTATGCTTCACGGACTTTATTATGACGGCCTAGATATTTTCGTCCAACAGTAAGATCCTCGTCGGCTGGTTGGTCTTATGGAAAGGACTCGAATTCACAACCTCAGTGTTGACAGGCTAGTGATTCAGTACTTAGACCACTCAGCCACCGAGGCCATCCTGGTATCTTTGGTAATTTTTTGCAATTTTTATATTTTTTTGAAGAAAAAGTTAGTGTGGTTAGAATTTGCTACCTATTTTCAGAACAGATACCTAGGTAGAGGATAATCTAAGGCTCGAGGCCTTTTCTGGGAATAAAAAAAAAAACGTTAGGTTTATAAAATGATTTCAAATTAGATTTGTTTCCTTGCTTACTTCATAGGACCAGAACGAGTCGTTGTCATCACATTCGCGTCTGGCGTACAAAATTATAAGCCTGGTTTTTTTGATGAGTTTCTTTTATTTGGCGATTGTAGTCCGATAATTTTTTTTAAATCTTCTTTGAAGGCATTCAGTAGGCTCGTATGTAATTACATGTCAAATTATTTTATTGGAAGGTCGTGGATGTGAGGGATTTATTTTTAACAGTAGTTATTTTGGAGGGTTATTTTTTCTTTATGCATCCTTGCATTTCAGTATGATTTGTTTTGGGGGGACAAGAGAGGGTGATAAATTCATGTTTATAATGTCTGGGTTTTGGCGAGGACCCTCGTCCCCCTATGCCTTGGATTTACATCGCCATTTCTAGAACAGAAATATGCAATATCCAAAAGATTTAAGGTTACACATATACCATGTACCCACAAAGGACACAATAAACAATATTCCAATTACAAAAAGAACAATTATTATTGTCAGGAACACGTGACGTTTTATATACTCATATTTTGTTAACATGAAATTTCAATTGTCAAATATTGTTATTAGTTTATATTGTTAATATTGTTTGCAATATGTCATGTGTATATACTGTATATGAATACACTGATGATCCATAAGGTTCAAAGTTAATACAAAATTTTAATTGAATTGTTACTTCTTCAATATATTTTATAGACCTAGAACAAAATATTTTACTTTGCTTTCCTATTTGCGTTAATTATAAAGATGTAGTCATGATTGATGGGGTTATTTAATATACAGATTTGTAAGCTGTTCTGACGGTGCAAGTTTAATTCACGTGACATAAAATCAAGGACAAGCATATTTGTATATACGTAGAAGCGTTATCATTTATCAGCAAAAAGTTCAGGTTTTGGCAATTAAACCAGAAAAGACTAAGATAGTACAGTAATTCATATCACAAATCAAAACTAATTGCTCTTTTAAAAACTAGAGGCTCCAAGGAGCCTGTGTCGCTCACCTGATATTTCTATTTACAATTGATGCATGAAATAATGCAACCGTTATACATTTGCTTTAGTTTCAGAGATATAAGTCAAAAACTGCATTTTCCCCCTAAGTTCTATTTTTAGCCATGTCTGACATGTTGGTTGGCAGGCAGGGTCATTGGACACATTTTTCAAATAAGATAACCTAGTGATGATTGTGGCCAAGTTTGGTTAAATTTGTCTCAGTTGTTTCAGGAGAGAAGATTTTTGTAAAAGATTACAAAAATTTACGAATAATTGTAAAATTTGACTTTAAAGGGCAATTATTTCTTATGGGTTCAATTGACCATATTAGTCATGTTGCCTTATTTGTAGATCTTACTTTGCTGAACATTATTGCTGTTTACAGTTTATCTCTATCTATAACAATATTCAAGATAATAACAAAAAACTGCAAAATTTCCTTAAAATTACTAATTCAGGGGCAGCAACCCAACAACGGGTTGTTTGATTCATCTGAAAATTTCAGTGCAGATATATCTTAACCCGATGAACACTTTTATCCCATGTCAGATTTGCTCTATATGCTTTAGTTTCAGAGATATAAGCCAAAAACTGCATTTTACCCCTATGTACTATTTTAGCCATGTCGGCCATCTTGATTGGTGGGCGGGGTCATCGGACACATATTTTAAAACTAGATACCCTAGTGATGATTGTGGCCAAATTTGGTTTAATTTAGCCAAGTAGTTTCAGAAGAGAAGATTTTTGTAAAAGATTACAAAAATTTACGAAAAATTGTTAAAAATTGACTATAAAGGGCAATGACTCCTTAAGGGGTCAATTGACCATTTTGGTCATGTTAACTTATTTGTAGATCTTACTTTGCTGAACATTATTGCTTTTTACAGTTTATCTCTATCTATAATAATATTCAAGATAATAACAAAAAACTGCAAAATTTCCTTAAAATTACTAATTCAGGGGCAGCAACCCAACAACGGGTTGTCTGATTCATCTGAAAATTTCAGTGCAGATATATCTTAACCCGATGAACATTTTTACCCCCATGCCATCTTAGTTAGCAGGCGGGGTCATCGGACCCATTATTTAAACTAGATACCCTAGTGATGATTGTGGCCAAATTTGGTTAAATTTTGCCCAGTAGTTTCAGAGGCGAAGATTTTTGTAAAACTTAAAGGACGACAACGACGGACGACGACGGACGGGACGCCAAGTGATGAGAAAAGCTCACTTGGCCCTTTGGGCCAGGTGAGCTAACAAAAGAAAAGATAAAATAATTATTTATTACTTCTATGTAATTAGATGTTGTCGTCTCATATCTTCCGGGCTAACGCCCCTCAGATATGAGAAGACTACATCTAATACATACGTTCTTGACGTAAACGTACCGATCAAGCATTCAAACTGAATTTCGTTTTCTTTTACCTTTCAAAACATTTATCGCAATTTGAATATGTAAATACAATCGGTAACTTAGTGCGGTTAGCAATGCAAATGCAATTAATTGGTTGGTTCGCGATAGTAAAACAGGCCCATTCCGGTTATGAACTCGTGTTTCGGAGGTAACAGGGAGGAGAAAGTTGCACTAAATTATTTTTCGAAAAGTCAAATCCTTAATTTGCCATATCCATTCGCCTTAGTGCTTTTCTTCATTTTAAGTTCAAATTGTCCAGTCTTAAACCTAGGATTATTTATCGTTTCTTAAAACTTATCAAGGTATATATCTACCTACCTCAACTGATTAATATTAAATATAGAAACAAGAACATACAAATATATGTTTCACGTGTGTCATGTGTGCCACACAAACTCCTTCAAAAATTAATAAAATTCTCTCCAGGCGCAGCTTGATACGACCGCTGAGGTCGAACCCTTAACAGTTGGGGCAAGTATGGACAAAACATTCAAGCTTGATACAGCTCTAAATTTGGATTGTGTTTAAATATTTGACTCAGCATAGGTTTCAGACACAGAATGAATGTGATCTAAGAACTTAAAATTTTTAGATTGGGCATTTACCTATTATGGTCCAATTTCCAAAATCTAAATACATGGTTAGATTCAGCATATCATAGAACCCCAAGAATTCAGTTTTTGATGAAATCAAACAAATTTTAATTTTGAACCCTTTGGACCTCAATCGGGACCAATTTGATAACGGGGCCCAAAATCGAAAATCTAAATACACAGTTGGATTGATTCAGCATATCAAAGACCACTTATATTCAATTTTTGTTGAAATGAAACAAAGTTAAGTTTTAGACCTCGATTTGGACCAACTTGAAAACTGGGTCCAAAATCAAAAATCTAATGATTAGATTCAGCATATCAAAGAACCCTAAGAATTCAATTTTTGTTAATTCCTTTGGACCTTCATGTGGACCAATTTGAAAACCGGACCCCCAAAATCAATCCCAACCTTCTTTTTTTTGTATGGAACCTTGTGGTACAATTCTTAGAGATCCATACACTTATACTCAAGTTATTGTCTGGACACCAAATGTCTTCTGACGACGACGACATCGCCATACCATTATATGGCCGCAAAAATCGTTTCGGTCGTTTAAATACCTTAGGATTAAAAAGCCCAAAGTACCTTGAAAAATATAACTACACACCATTTCAGGCAAGTCGACTTTGAGCCCCAGTTTTTATTTGGGATTTGAACTCACAATCAAATTTATCTACAAGAATATAATAAAGTCGTAATGAAAATATGCGAAAGCAAACGGCGTTTAAAGGTTAGACATATACAATGTCATTTAAAAATTAGAATGAGACATCACTTCGAATATAGTTACATATTACTATAAATATTGCACTATTTTATTCATTGAAATACTTTTAAATACTACGATTAATAAAAATTATAACAGTTATTTTAACTATATATGAAATTTAATGACAAAGCTATAATATGATCAGCTGAGCTTATTATAATATTTTATTTATATACCTGATAACATGTTTACCTTTGGAATAAAACAATGAAACTGACTATAAATACTACGAGGAAGTCATTTCTGATTGGCTGTATTTTGCCCAATTCCCATCTACTTTCCGGGTGCAAGAAGTGTAAATAAGTCGGTGAACCTGTCAAAGGATAACTTGTTATACATATGATATACATTAAAGTGCGACGTGATTTGCAACAAAGTCTATAATCAATCTTTATCGTCGTGTTATGCGGGAAGTTGAAAATTGTTACCACTGCATAACCGGAAAATAATTATGTTTCATAGCTATTAAATAACTTGTAAATTAGAGGCGGCAACCGGATTTATATTATATTAATTAAAAGAATGAGTAAATAGTATTACTAGAATTAAAAATATGATATATGCTTTTAGTGAACTTTGGCAAATAAAGGGCAAATTATTTTATGATAAAATTACACAAATAGGAAGTGAATCTGGTATTGACGTAAATACAAATAGTAATCGATATGTAACCAAATTCTAAAGTATTGAGTAGATTTTAATATGTTGTTTAAATTGCTTATGTTTTTTAGACTTATCAATAAAGAAATTGTACACAGAACCCTTGTCTGGTCCTCAAATACAGTATTATCTATATCACTGGAAAATTACATGTACCAGCAATAACGGTAGGCCACTACATTACTTCATTTGAAATTGTTTGTAAATATATATACTGCTTGGCGGCACCATTGGCAATTATACCACAGGTCTTTATTTTGATACTTGACATATACCCATATCATGCCACCAACCATTTTCTTTTTATCAGAAATCTGGAATTTTATATTGCATGAGATATGTTTTTAGTTCAGCAGCATTCCCCTTAGATATTTTTTAATGCAAAATACATAAGAGGATTGTTGCTTTCAACGAAGCTACATAACCAGGGGTTTTATATGGTAATCCAACCCACTTTTGATAACCCGTATGTGGTTTGTTATCGCATTTATACGTATCATGTGTAGACGATGGGTGCCACCATTAGAGCAGGCATTGCTTACCGAAGTACATTTGTATATTATTTCACCAACAGGTTATGCTGGGATTCGTGTTGTTTACTTTTAAGTTTTCTGTGTAATGGTCTGAGGAATGTTTTTCTTGTATTGCCTGTTTCTTCTTCTGCTTATAATTTATTGCTCCCTTTTTATCTGTAGTTTTTTCTTTTTATTCTTCTTTTTCTTCTTCTGATTATTATTGATGTTGTTATTAAGTTTTTTTCTCGATAACATGTGAATTATTGCGAAGATGATGCTATTTTAATTTCATTTCGGCTCTTTTTTTAAAAATGTGTTTTGCCAAAGTTTAAAATCAGCATTTTTTCAAAAATCATAGCCAAGCACTGTTTTTAAATGTAGTGTGTCTGCCTCGGTTTTCTTACTTCTGCAATCCTCGTTACACTCATATTAGTATTATCCTTTTTAGCTGTTGACTTCTTTGTTTTAATTTACTTTGATAATACGTATGCCAGGTCACTTTGGACCAAAATACTAATGGAGATACTGTTATACATTTTAATCCGTGGTTTTTAATTATTTTCTCTTTAACGATGGGACCAATCTGCAAAAAGTAAAACATGATATAAATTTTTCCTATATCGTTTCAATTTGATAAAAAAAACTTATACTTGTAAGCTACTCCATCGAATCGGTATTGTTATATGAACACAAAAAGATTCGGGTGTATGTCAATGAGACAAGATTCCAACTATCGACACAAATAACCTAAAAGATATCTAGAAGTCAACACACAGTCGTCAACAAAAGACACCAGTACCTGCACATTTTACAGAAAAGGTTTATAGTTGCGGTCTGCGTCAGTCTGTAATAATTTCTTCTGAAATAAGACTCTAAACTCCCCCTTTCTCTTTAAAAGGTTTATGAGGTTTTTTTCTCGGTACAAAGATCGCACGGCATCCCTTTTAGATGTGCAAAACAAGGAATTGGGAATTTAAGTTTGGGTGATTGTCTTAAAATTTGATAAACTTACATGTTATTAGAACTTTGCATTCTTTTTTTTTCGTTTTGATTAATACATTAGATAATTTACGATTGTTGTAAAGGAACAATAAGGATTGGAAGCCTTGAAATTGGGCAATTTATGATAATGAGTCGAAAAGTTCGAACCTTAGGTCTGTTGATGTTTGCTTTTTGTTTTTGTTTTTGTTTTTCTATTGTATAATTTGTAGTTGTATCTGAAAGTTTTATAAATCTGTAGTTTGTGTAATTGTACTTAATTTTGAACGAAAACGAATTTTGTTAGAAACACCTTCTTTCAATATTTGTTTACTTGTTTACATGTTTTAGTTTTATATGTAAATAGAATGATTAAATGTCATCTGTCAATGAACAATACAGCCTTTAATTTGTAATGATAGCTGACGGGTCCAAAATTACACACAAAAAAGTGCTTTATTCGTTTCTTATTTTTACCCCAAGTGTGACAGGGGAAAAGCAATATTGTCGCTTTGGTCTTTTTCCAACCGACAGTAAAACCCTTGCCAAGTGGGGCGTCTGTTTGGCTATGCTTGATTTACGCAGCCACGTCCGGTTAGAATGCGGACGTTAAATCTGGTGTCATGCTCTCTGCACGTAAAGAACCCTTGCAACAACTCTTTGAGGGGTCCGTAGGTGGCCTGTTGGAAGGCAAATGTCTGTCCCTATCCAATATACCCTTTTTTCCAGTGGCATTCCAAATTTCCCCGACCTTCATCCAGGACTACCTCTATTACAGGACATACCTATTGTATTTATTGTTAACTCGTTCTCGTATGAACATGCGTGAAATATTTGCCACTGGCCATGACGCAAACAGTAATCAATCAATCGTATTCTATTTTGAATTTTATTCTTTGAATATTGGTGTACATCATCTTAATAAGTTACGCAGTTCAGTTTAATGCTATACATCATCTTAAGATACGCAGTTCAGTTTTTATCATTTAGGTTATGATTGAAGATTCCAAAATATTTCTGACCAAAAATGGATGAATTTTACAAAAGAAGTATAATCCGAATATGATTAAGGTTCAACGTTGTTCTAACAATAATATTTACCTTCCGGATATGTGGAATAAAGAATAAAATATTAAGGTCCCAATTTTGGACCAAAGCTTTTGTCGGATTTTTGTATGCACCGAATTGATTTTTCTAACAATAAGTTGAAATATTAAGCATACACACTTAAAACGTTTGCCTTCGTAACAAGCCCGTCTAAGATCGTCATTGCTTGAATTAGGGAGTTGTAGCCTTCATTGTATTTGTTCTATAAATGTCCAATTGAATCAATTCTCTTCTGAAAAAATTCCTAACGATGTTGTACCCTTATGTCGGTTTGGGTTGTTGTGCTTTAACTTCAACTTGCAACTGTGTAATATGTGGTTCGTTCTGGGTAAAATAATGTAAGTCGGTATTTTCACTTGGAGAATCATGAACTAAGTTAGGGATAAGACTATTCAATTGATCCCAAAATAATGCAATTTATTGCTGTCAAAATTATCCGTTTTGATTTTATGGACCGTCTATATCCAGATGTTCGATTTGCGTAGTCATTCAAAATTGTTTCAGTTTAAAATATTTTTTGTGCTTTCAAGAAAAAAATGCTGGTCTTTTAATTGTCTCTCTCTCTCTGTTGATTTGATGTTATTAGGTTGGTCAGTGACGTATACATCACATTTTATAGTAAAATATGTTGACTCTTTCGGTTTTCAATTATCAAATTTAGATTTGATGAACATTTTTATTTAAAAACAACGTTTGTACTGGAAAAATTTGGAAATTTTCAATAGTTGTAATTATGACTGCACTTTATTACATCATGATATAAGTTGACTGTGTTTTATCAGTAATTATTTATAATTCAAATCCTCAAGAGTGCTTGAGGGCTTAATCTAAAGGTAAGTATGCATATACTTGTTTCGTATCTTAGGAAGGCGTTGATCATAAGAGGTATTTATTAGAGATCGTGTTCTTTGCAAGCTGCAGTGGCTTAATTCGATGATATTGACTTGATTGCAAATTGATGACGGCAAAAACTTCAAACAAAACATTGTATCGATTTGATGAGTTAAGCCATTTTCAAATAATTTTTATAGTTTGTTCTGTCGAGGATTGAGGGCTCACAAACTTGTTAAACCCCGCCACATTCTGTATGTGCCTGTTCCAAGTCAGGAGCCTGTAGCTCAGTGGTTGTAGTTGGTTCATGTTATGTTTGTTTTTCGTAAATTGTTTTGTTATAAATTAGGCCGTTAGTTTTCTCATTTGAATTGATTCATATTTTTCATGTCGGGGCCTTTTATGGCCGACTATACGGTATTGGTTTTTCTCGTTGTTGAAGGCCGTACGGTTGCTTATGCTTGCTTACATCCACATCATTTGAACTTTCGTGGATAGTTGTCTCATTGGCAATCATACCACATCTCCTTATTTTTATATTGTGTTTGCTTACTAATAATGGTTCTGGATTTCTTCAATAAGGTATTGTTTACAAACGACCCATGTTACGCGCGCATGACATTTGTCTCTGGAATAACATTTATCAGGTACGCTCTAGATTAAAGATTTGTGGAGCATAATAAACAAACTATTTTTGAAGGAAAAAAATCCTAAGAATCGCGATCTAACATCTTCGTCCCATTGTTTCTTACAATTGAAAATAAGTAATTTATGGAATTCGGTATTGAAAGTAGATCTTCGAAAGATTTTGTGAATTTTGTTACAACCTTTTTTTACTCTTGCTATGTAGAGCTTGATGGAATGTATAGACACCTGTCAATTGTTGATGACCGGATGTTGTGATTTGGATGTCTTTTGTAGATTTTGTATTTTGTCTCATTGAATTTAACCTCAATTTCTTTTGTTCAAGAGGGGGTCAATTTGTCCGTGCATGATGTATGAATACGCAGCCGTGTCAGATGCATCGGAAGGAGAGTACAATGCTGTCAACCAGTGAAAAACCCTTACAACAACTTTTAGAGTTTTCCGTAGGTGACCTACTGTTAGGCAAGAATTCTGTCAACCAACAACCCTCATTTTCCAGTGGCAGTTGAAATTCCCGCCCTACATTCCAATCGACCTTCATTACATCACCTACCTATCGGATTTACTGCAAACTTGTTTTCGATCTGATAGATAACTCATGAAATGTTTGCCACTGGACGTAAGACAAACAAGAATGAATATATCCATCTATTAATTTTAATGCCGATTTAAAAGTAAAAATTGGGCAGTAATGAGATGATTCGAGAAAAACCGAAAAGTCCAAATAATAATTAAAAAAAGTAATTAATAGTAAATAGATATAAGAAGATGTGGTATGAGTGCCAATGAGACAACTCTCCATCCAAGTTAAAGTTTATAAAAGTAAACCATTATAGGTCACAGTACGGTCTTCAACACGGAGCCTTGGCTCACACCGAACAGTAAGCCATAAAGGGCCCCAAAAATTACTAGTGTAAAACCATTCAAACGGGAAAACCAACGGTCTAATCTATATAAAAAACGAGAAACGAGAAACACTTATGAACCACATTAACAAACGACAACTACTGAACATCAGATTAAACACATTAATAATTCGTATCGAGGAAGACAATATCTTCCTTTAGGCGAGTTTGTTCACAATTTGTAGTCTTTTGTACAGTCACATAGTTTTGAAATGTTTTACTGGATGAAACAATGAATAACGTGATAATACGGTTGCTTGAATTGAATAATCTTTTCAATAATTATAGAATAACTAATCGAAGAATTCAAATAGAGAAAAATATTCAACGAGTGACCGAACAATACATTAATTCACGAATGCGCGTAGCGCATGAGTTAATTATCAGTGTTGATCGGTCACGAGTTGAATATTTTTCTCTATTTGAATTCTTTAATTAGTTATTCTTTTTATTACATTGGCAAATGGCTTTTTTTATGAAATTAAAGAAGAAAACGTAAGGAACTATATCTTTTTCTACGCATTCACAATTTGTTTTGATCCGACGTTAACCACGTTTATTTCACATGTGAAATTATCGGTTTTTATTTCACTGGGAAATCAATGTAATTCATTGCAACCAATGTAACAAACATAAATATAACGTTATCTTCATCTTGAAATATGATAATTTTGAAAGAATATATTTTTACATTGACTGTATCATCTTAAATATTTTTTTACAGCATTAATGCGCATAATGTAAACAATATTTCAGTTAATGTGGTATATGCATCTTACCTTAAGCATTCGTCTCGTTACTAAATACCTAGAGTTTAAATTTTACATGGATTTCAAGCTAATAGATAATAGATAGCAACGATTCCAGGAATTGGGATGATCATATTTAAAATTAGATTTTGTACATTTAAAGTTGGTATAGTTTGGACTTGCCTTGTTTCATTTTCGTTTTCGTTTTACAATACAGATAGGACGTCGTTAAGCAACAGTATGTATTTAAAAATTGATATGGTTGACATTTGTTGTAGTCGTTAATAATTCAAGCAAAACCAATTCAAATGGTTGAGCAAGTATTTGTTGTTTTGTTAGCATTATAAACTATTATCATCTTTTCCTCCGCTGAAATTGAAACTATCGTGATTGTGTTGGTAGGCTTTGTAATGATAACAGTATGATAATTCAAAACTACAAAATACTGAGAATCAAAAAATAATAAAAAAGGATAAGTGACGTGTACGTGTACAACCCACAGTCCCCAATAAATACGCTTTTCTAAGATCATTTAACTCGAATAGTTTTTATGGTTAGAGGGTATTATATTTTTTTTTTTCTTGTTATTGAAAGGTGTTTTCCTCGTAAATAGTGGTGATTTCTAGGAATACATAAACCTTCATTAAAAATTCGTGGAAAACCTAGACCTGTAATGATTATATAAGGTGTTGAAATTACATATAAAGTCTAAGGTTAACATTACATACTACATCTTACAGGCATGGATATATACGTATACACAATGATTTTAAGTTTGATATATAATAATAAATATAACGCATATATATAGTAGACACAGCCAGCAATGGTGATCATTGTGAATTGACTTAACATATGCAACAACGTGTTTTTGAAGAAAAGGACGTAGGGAAACTACTTATTATGACTTAGATTTTGTGTAGCATTCCCATTTGCGATTTTACGTTAGTCCTTTAATCCTTCTACCATCAGAATACGTCTTTGGTATTATTGGTCATTTACTGCGAGATAAACATTTCAATTTGGCTGTGAATAGACGAAATAATTACGGTTGACATACTTGGAAGGCCTGTTACTAATGATTCCAACAATAGAAATAGGCGTGTAATTTAGAGATAACTGTATTGTATTTGAAGCTTTGCGGACATCCATCGGTAGTTTTACTGGCTTCTTGTCCACTTCAGAATGTAATAAAATTTGATAACAAGAAGATTTCTAGGTGCAAAATGTGAGTTTTTTGCTTATTATTGGAGAAATTACATGTCAATACATTCCGGAATTCAAAATGTCGGCTTCCTTAGTTACAGACAGGGAGAAAGAGAATTTTACGCTTATTGTCATCCAATCAGAACCATTTATACAAAATAATTGCATTAGAATACACCATTTTGTTAATAATTTAATGTAGATTTACGAGATAACAAGTTTCAGTGGAATAGACAACCGCAAAATTGAAACATAACGGAAGTTCGCGTCCGGGTGACATTTCTCAAATATACGAGTTAGGTACCTTGTGTTATATTAAAGTATATTGGTAAACAAATTTCAGAGACAAGTGCCTGTGTTTTCAGCACTTCATTATTATAGGTTTCATAAGGAGTGAGAATTGGATATCTCTTGATCTAAAATCGAAATAATAACAAACGAGCCTTTTTATAAACAAACCACACAAATATAATTAGACAAATTGATTATCAGAATTTCATCATATTGATATTGAAAATATCAGCAGTTCGACACAAAAGGAACATATTTGAGCTCATTTATTGTGCTCACAGGATAAAAAAAACCTTAATAGCGTGAGGCCGCGGCTGATATTTTACGGTATCAATATAGCGAAGATGTGATAGTCGGAAATTATTGGGTCGGTTGGTTTTCTTCAGAAATTATTTTGATTTTTCTCATTCCTAATTGGATGATGATAATATGAAGAAGTTGTCAACTTTAATATAATCAAAGTCTACGTATGTGCTCGCGGATTTGAGTATACCGGTAATCATTTTTTTTCTTAGATAGAGGCAAATCATTTAATCCCGCAACAACGTCATATAATAGGTTTAATGACATCAGGGAATCCACTGTGTCAAATTTCGAAACAACACCATTGTCATTGAATGTAACATTGTTTGTCATAATACATTACAACAATTAATCAAGTTGTCGTTAAAAGCGCAAATGAACGTGCTTTTTCCTAACTTTAATGGTAAAGGACTAACTTTCTAGACGTTCTACATTGTGTATATTAAAGGGTTTTACGTTTCCTCTTTATCATCCTATTATAGACAAACAGTCCTCCTAGTATTAAAACTAGATGTAACAGTAGTTTACCGATGTTCAAATTTTAAAAATGTATCAATAAAATACAAATCATGTTAAAAACGAAAACTATGGGAATCGCAAAGGAAGAGGAGAGAAGGGTAAGCGTCTCTTTCTTTGCATGCCAACAGGAAACGGTTGACCCCATGATGTTTGCTTTTTATTTGACATGGATACCACAAGGCTAGTAAATTTAGAAGATATTGCAATAAAATTGAAAAAAAATTATTGACTGCTGTTTTTTGGTTAAAGAGATATAAAAAAAAGTCCAAGTACATGCAGAAACTCATTAAAGATAGTAGAAAGCAGTGCAATATTTTCGAGAACTATTGGCTATGTTTTTGCTTTAGAGATGTGTGTATGGGGACATTAAATAAACCAGTCAGTTCTTTAAGGATCTATAATCCATCGCACTTTTAAGCCTTGTAGGAGAAACCCACTTGTTGACCGTTTTCCTAATTGATAAGCACCAAAGACCTATTATATAAGTACTACCTATTTATGTATGATAAGGGGAGGATTCTTTGAAGAACAGTACCCCAAGTCATTACTAGAAAGAATGGATTAGTTAAAGCAGGTCCGGTGTTAAACACCAAACAGTCAATCAAAAAAGAGATACAACGGACATTCTATAACAATTAAAAATGTCGTTCTCTCTATGGTCATCTTCAATGTTTGTACGAATGTTGTCACTGCATGGCAACTTAAAAATTGATAAGGAAAAAAAAGATACAATTTCCGTAAAACAATAGAGAAAAAATTCAGCATTACTTCAAAGCCATGGAGATCTCATTGCTCCCAAACAAACTGCTCCCAAGTTTCAAGTTTATAAATGTTCAATAGCCACATGGCACGTTTCGACTATCTACATGACATTTTGTTTGTACATTAAACCAGTTGCATGGTAATTTCTTGAAACAAACCAATGTATGTAAAATATAGCACTTCGTCAACTTCTGCAACTTCATTAATAGTTGAAATATCATTCAAAAGTAGAGCGTAGAGACATTAATATTCGGAAAGACTATTAAGGCATACGTGAAAAATACTTAAACATATTTAACTGATGATACTTTGGGCAAACCTATTCCGAATTTTTAAAATGTAGTTTCCGATTTTCCATAAATAATTTAATGCACTGATATAACATGTACGTGAACATAGGTTCAATAGAATATGCATGAAGTAGCTAAAAGTAGTAACTCTTTGAAGAACCAGAATTTACGGTTATTGAATTGATATTTTTTTTACGCTATGGTCTAGATAAAGGTCGAAGATAAAATGACATGACTAAAAAACAAACCGTTATCTAGTGTCAATGGGGAAGCTGTTTACTCCAATTCTAGTTACTAATATGCTGTATGAAAATTTACCTTGTACACAAGGTACATGGTAATAGGGAATCCTGGATTCTACAAAAAAGAAAATGAATCCATAATGAAAAGAGAATTTCTTGCTTGACAATATTTTTATTTATGGATATATTGTTGCCAAGGAAGAAATCCTGGATAATCATAGGTCTGTTCTATGTTTCTTTGGAATTTTAACCAAAGATGAAGAACTGGATCTTCCTTTACTGTATTGGATACCCAAATTACATAAGTGTCCTTACAAACAACGTTATGTTGCTGGGTCTTCCAAGTGCTCCACGAAACCTCTTTCTAAATTATTAACATCAATTTTATCAGCAATCAAAGCCGGGCTTCAAAGTTATTGTGAAACTACCTATTCTAGAGGTGGCGTGAATCAGATGTGGATACTGAAAAAATCCAAAGATCTTTTAGAGTACATACAATCTTAAGACATTTTCATCTTGCAACAGTATTAAAACATTTGGATTTTCTACACTTTACACAAGTATTCCCCATTCCAAGCTTAAAGACAAATTGAGAGAGTTGGTCCTGTTTTGTTTCATGAAAAAGAATGGCCAAGGTAGATACAAGTATCTTATCTTAGGGATAAATCGTAATTTGTATAAAATCATGCTGATTAAAACAAAAATTATCTGAAACTGACATTATCAAGATGCTTGATTTCTTGATTGACAATCTTTTTTGTCACATTTGGAGGGCGTGTTTTTTTTTTTTAAATCGGCATTCCCATGGGAACCAACTGTGCTCTTCTTCTTACAGAGTTGTTCCTTTATTCACACGAGGCTGACTCCATACAGGAACTTCTTAGGAATAAGAAAAAGAAGTTAGCAGTATCCTTTAACTTCATTTTCTGCTATGAAGATGATGTTCTCTCACTATATAATTCAAAATTTGGTGACTATGTTGAAAGCATCTATCCCATCGACTTGAGATAAAGGATACAACACATACAGTTAAGTCTGCCTCATATCTTGACTTACATCTACAAATTGACAATGATGGTCGGTTGAAAACAAAACTTTACGACAAAAGAGATGAGTTCAGCTTCCCAATTAGTTAACTTTCCATTTCTATGTAGCAACATTCCAGTAGCGCTTGCATACGGAGTATATATCTCCCAGTTGATAAGATATTCCAGGGCTTGTATTTCCTATCATGATTTCCTTGATAAAAGGGTTGCTGCTCACAAGGAAACTATTAAACAAAGAGTTCCAAGTGGTGAAGTTGATATCATCCCTTCGTAAATTTTACGGACGACATCACGAGTTGGTTGACCGTTTTAACAATCCCGTCTCCTTTTCCCCGAAAGGAACTACCGAATTAGACTTATCACCGGGTATGTACTAACATGAGCAACACGATGGGTTCCACATGTGGAGCAGGATCAGCTTACCTTTCCGGGGCACCTGAGAT